CTAAACAAAGCATCACTCTAACTTAACCTCAAATTCTGGGCAAAAAATATGCTTGAACCCATAAATGCAGATTGCTCTATAAATGTATATTATCAAATGTTTTGTTCCTACAGTATCGAATAGCAAAAAATATCTATTTTTTTCAAAAGCGTCAAATTTGAAGACGATTATGATTGGTCTATTTTATAGAATTTAATTTTGATTGGTCGATAAATCATGTAGATAATGTTTTTATATCTGTATTAAACGCCAAAATTTTAGATAAATAAAAATTTTAAAGTTTTTTAACTTTAAATCAAATAAGATCTATTTTAACAGAATTATAGCTTGGATAAAAAGCAATAAATCTATAAAAGGGATTTTTGCTAAAATATTTTGTTCTTGAGTTATAACACTTTTTATGTTTTATATATAAATATTAGATATTTTTTGCTGTCCGGTACTGTACGAACTGCATTTAGGGGACTCACTGCATATATTTTTAGAATGAATGCGTAATAAGCATACATCCACTCATCATTCGTGTAAGTGCTGGTCCAACTTCAAAATCAGGAAACATTGGATATCCAATCTAATATAAATAAATTTGAATCTATAAATACAATATTCTAAGGTAAAGTTAAAATGAGCTCCTTTGCTAACCTCTAACCAGCCTCCCGGTTTTAATACTCTAAAGATCTTCGATACAAGTTCTTGAATTTTGTCTTTTTTAAAAAGCAAAAATTTATCTCTAGAAAAAATATGATAATAAGTGTGATAGATGTGTAATGAAATTTATTGATCTGACCAATAATAAGCAGATAGTTTGAATGCAAGCCCCTAAATGACTTAGTCGACTAAGTCAACGACTTTTCCTTGTCCATCAATTGTAGTCGACTAACATTCCATCGACTGAGTCATTGGATAAAATAAAAAATAAAACTATCAACTCCTTTACAGTTTACTATCACTTAGAGTCGATTAAATTGATAAAAATGTTGCGACTTTAAATTTAGAAACATGAGTTTAAATGCACCCGTATAAAAAAAGCATTGAAATAATTTGAAACAAATCGAAAAATCGGTTCGGGTGACATCACGAAGTTATGTAAAATTACATAGAATTTTTATATATAAATCTATATATACGGGTCGTCTAAAGCCATGACTTTTTTGTGTAAATCAACCAACCGGAATTGCGAAACTTTGTTTACACGGATCAGCCCGAAGTCAAAAAATAAAGAGTTGAGGCACTATTTAAAGGCAATTTGCATATACCCTTTTAACTCTAATCCTAATCTTTAATTTTAATTAAACCGATTAAAACGTCAAAATCACATGAGTGCATGACTTTAACCACCCCCAAAATTGGTGCGGAGTTTCTAATGATCAAAACACTATATCGGACTTTAAAGAGGTCGGTTGTCCATCGTACATAATCATCGATTTAATATATACATGAGCGTTTTTTGAAAAAATTTTTTTGTGCTGTATAGACTTGAATTTCAATACAATTCTAACTAATGTTGACGATTGAACGAATTAGATATATTTATAGTAAACTTTATTTCGACCAACAACATTAAAATGAATCCTGATACCCGATATAAGTACAAAAAATTCCTAAAATACGAATACTTTACAATCCTAATGCAATGGTCTAATATATAAACACCTAAACTATAAAACACAAGTAATATGTATGAAACAAACCCCACTTCAAAATCGAAGGGGATATCTATAATACAGTCACATTCTAATCAAGTAGTATTGAAAAAAAAAAAAACTAAAAATGAATTAAGAATTTTCTACGTCAGGTACAGTGTTATTATACCTTGACGATGTAGTTGAGTGTCCACCAAGCAATCTCGTTTGTTCATCCGGAACCAATGGCTTACCGACAGAGTCTGTATCTCCAACATAGAACGGTCCATGACCGAGACGTTTTGCTCGGTAGTGCCAGCAAATACACATAATGAGAAGGGTACCTTGAAGACATCCAGTAACAAGAAAAACAAACCATGTCGTCCACCTTGTTCCAGGACGAATGGCGAGAGAGTAAACGAAAAGAAATGAACCTAAATTAATAGCAAATGTTGCAAATTCGACAATTAAAATAAATTAAAATAAATAAACTAAATCAACACATGAGAAATATATACCAGGAGTTTGTATAAGCATCATAGGTATACTAAGTGCGCCTACAGACTATGTTGATTTATAGATAAATTAATAGGTGTCGGATATTTCCACTGCGTTCATAACGAAAACAAATACATGAACCTTACCTTTCGTCTCCATGTCCTAATTATTTGAGGAAAATACTGAATAGATGCAAATATTGTAGACATGACGCCTAAAGAGTCTGCCCAGTATTTTGTAGCCGGATAATCTTCAGCAGCACCACCAAATGTTAAAAGGTATGTTGAAATAATAACAGTCAAAACGAAATGCACTGTTATAGCAATGGCAATGCAAATTGAGTCACGCCAATCGTTCGACCAACGTGTCGGTGGAGAATTAAAGTGTATGTGACGAACATACGGTACAATTTTGCGCTCAGAAGGGAAATATATCATGAAAAGAGCAAATATTAATGCAAACATCGAAAATTGAACACCTAGTTGAATGACCCCTAATGTGTTTTCGAAGCATTGAAGTCCAGACTGTAATGTATTTATAGAAATGGAATTAGTAAATTATACGAGAATCAAAGTTGGGTTACGATCTTTTAATAAAAACATACCACGATACTACAACACTGGATCATGCAAAACTCCGGTTTTTTGAATGAATAATATGAATAGTAAAGATTTTTTACATTCATGTGCAAGAT